TTCATCTTACTCTTCTCTTTTGCACTACATGTTTCAGCACTAATGTGCCATCTTCAGGTGCGTTTTCTCTATGCACGTCTAACTACTGCATTGCATGCCCTGATGTCTTCATATTAAAATGACTAAAATATACATTCGTCATGTATAATAATATATTTTAAATATTAAAACTTTCCAGTAGTATAACACACGCAGTCACAGGAGCAAGACACAACACAGAGCACAATACACACATGAATGTAGGAAGAGTGCTCCCATAGAGGAGGATTGGCGTGACTCGCGTATTTGAGATACGACGTAAGGATGACGAGTCCTGAAAAGTTTTAATATTTAAAATCTATTATTATACATGACGAATATATATTTTAGTCATTTTAATATGAAGACATCAGGGCATGCAATGCAATAGTTAGACGTGCATAGAGAAAACGCACCTGAAGATGGCACATTAGTGCTGAAACATGTAGTGCAAAAGAGAAGAGTAAGGTGAAAAAGTGTATGCACTGTAAGACGGTTAGCATAAATCATGGACATGAGTCAGTGCAACAGGACGCTAAAATATAACATTGAAAATCAGTAAATCTTTGTAATCAGAACAAGTTGTTTTAAGATCAGATGGGCATTATCTTGATGTAAAGTCATTTCCTTTTCCTTCTTTGTCACGAAATCTTATTCCACCACGCCATTTTGTGCACGCAGAGCAGAAGCCGCGGGCTGACTCACTGTTCTGCCCACACGAGCTAGAACCGGTGTCGATCACCAGTTTGAGCTTTCTTCTTGTTGAGAAATGGCCAACACATCCACTCCTTTATCCTGTCCAACGGCTTTTTAAAGTCACCACTGTAACGGGCGTGCCTACACTTTGCAGACATACAGAGCATTCTTTTAGTTGCAAACTAACTGGGTCCCTTGTCGCCACAACATGGCGCGTCCTCAGGCTGCGGATGGAGGAGACGGCCTCCAGATATGGAGGGAAGCAGTCATGGTATGCCGACAAGGGGTGGTCCTTCAGGTTGGGTGTTGGACGTGAGGCTAACAGCTGTACTACTGTACAGCTACTAACTGTAAATAAATACAATTACGAAATGTAACCGAGGGCCACGAACTTTGACGGGTTTTCTTGAAGATTCCAAACACAAGAAAATGGACACTAGATTTGGCCTTGGAGAAATAAGATGAGATGATACGGACTGGATTCATCTGGCTTAGGACAGGGACCATCGGCAGGCTCTTGTGAACATTGTAATGAAACTTCGGGGTTCATAAGATGCTGAGAAGTTCTTGAGTAGGTGGCTAACTGTTGGCTTCTCAAGAAAGATTCGTCTCTATATAATTAGTTAGTTATTAGCTAGTACCCGTTCTTTCCTCGGATTTCTCCTAAAATAAACTGTACAGGAATTCCTCGCCAACCGTGGATTTCATATATCCTGGGGTCCAGTTAAATTCAGATTTACCAACCGCACAGTTTGGTTTTAGGGAACTAAACTACTGGATGAATGGACGAGGAACTTGGATTCGATTCGTTTGGTTCCCTTCAGGGAAAGAGATTTTCCTCCCCCCATAACGTTCAGACCTGGTGTAGGCCCCACCCAGTCTCCTATCAAATG